TATCTAAGGAATTTATTTTTCACCACACTATGATGTTTTTGGCTGTATTACATACGTTAATTGGTGGCTGAAAGTTACGTTTTGCTGGCCATGCCAGCTGTCGCCAATTTGGGGACCGAGCAGGTTTTTACAGGCCGGGGCCGCAAAATCAGCTGTCCGCTTACTTACTTAGAACATGAATGCGTTTTAAATACACAATCAAAATCCATAGCATTGCAATATAGAATTGTGTTATTGTCACTGTTGCCTAGCAACTATTTATTTATATTTTTGCTGATTCCTCAAATTATTTCTTAACCTTAAAGTTGTAGTTGTGTTGACTATCAGTGTGCATTATTATAGGGGTGAATAGTGGTAATAGGGTATAGTGTGGTGAAAAATAGCGTTCGTACCACGGACCGAAATGGTTTAGCAGCTCTCGATTGATTTAAGTTCTCGACTTCGTCTCGAACTTAAAAACTATCTCGAGCCGGCAAAACCTCATTTTCGGCCCTAGGTACGAAATATACTATTACAGCTGACTAGTTGAGTTATTTTTTATGCAAGCTATCTTTCAAACCATAATCTTTCTACCAAGTAGTTCAATTCAATGATCGTATTGGTGTGATTTACAATACGTACATTTGGCTTAACATTTTAGACCGGTTGAGATTATGCCCAGCTATAAACTTTTAGGTGTAAAAACTGTGTATGTATACATAGTTCAAGTCTTGAAGAAGGCTAGAGCAATAAATAATTGATGTAGAAAAACAGTTCATGAACTTGTCAGTTTTATAACAATGACGATATGTGATTAAACAAATATTTTAAGGGAAATTTAAACTGTACATAAATTATAATTAGGCCTTCTTATTCAACCAAAAATATACCTAAGAAGATACCTAAACTTGCTCATAAATTTGTATAAGGAATACTTATTATGCTAAATGCAATCTAATATTGTTTTAATAACTTCTGACCTAAGCCTTGTTGGCAGCTCTTTAGGTAAATGATGGAATAATGTATCTGAGAGCGAGAATATAACGAGGAGAATGTAATAAGGATGAAATGTATTCAGCACTTCATCAGCACCACCACTGCTGACGTGACAACTGCAAGAAGTGCTTCAGCAAAGGTGTTTGGTTATGTGCCGCGGACTGAAGCAGCTGATCATTGCATTTACATATACAATATGTACAAAGTATGTGTGAGCTGTGGTTGTATACTGTGAATACAAGTGATAGACCTTGATGATATCCGTACAAGCTTATTTGTCTTCCCTATACATATTACGGGTGTGGGGTGTAATCTAAAATATCTATATCCTCGTTTTATGTGTTATCTTATCATAGACTAATCTAATAAAATTCAAAATCGGTTTTTCTTCTCGTATTGATAAATTAAGTTGAGGGACTGTCTGCGTTCCTTTGCATTCAAGGAGTTAAGGAAACTTTAAAACATATTTTAAGTTGTTGTACGAAGGATTGTGCTCGGCTCGATTATAGTTGTTTATTTCTAACTGTGTATATAAATAGGAAAACACTTCAGTTTGTTACCCTAATTCTCTGTTGTGCAGTATAGTTTTTAATGCGTCGTTTCTAACAATCTTAATCCTACTCTATTGTATCCTACACTATATAGCATTTCACTCTAGTATCCTAAACTATTGTATCCTCATTGATCCCTACATTACAGTATCCTACCATAGATGAAGTAATATAATATTATATTACTTCATCTATGATCCTACTCCCCAAACCGGACTCACTTAACCGGAAATTATAAACTGCAAGAAAACATTGTTTTAAGTGCTTTTGGAGCCTAAATTTCAAGTATTTTTCGGGGATATGTGAATTTTTGGTCAAAGACTGAGGGAACTGTGGCCAAAGGTTGTGATTAACTATCGACGCAGTTTATAATGTATACTCGATAACGAGCAACTGAAGGATTTTTTGATTTTTCCCTCTTTCAAAGCAAGTGACCCTCTGGACTGACACTATGGCGTTTCCTCAAGTGTCTCCCTCACGAACCATGGGAACATCGTGTCCGATCGCCCAAGATCGTTGCACCCGGCCAATTAATATATCGATCAGCCGATCAGCTGATGTGAGGAGGCGCCATACTCTCATGTTCACATCCAATAAAGTAACACTCACTGCGATCTGCGAGCTTTTATTGACTGTCTGTGACAAATCGGGACGTGGCGAGGGCTGAAAAGGAGTTAATAAGTTCCGATGCTGGGCCATGGGAACGTGTAGTCTGGATTGGTTTTAAGTCTGCTATGGGCGCCATGGAGTAATGTGTTGGTGTGGAGATAATGTGTGCGTGCCTATCTGGGGTTCAGGGACACTCCCGAATTGCTAAAGGTATATACCTAAATGAAATGCAAGTTGTTTCAATAACGGTGTGGCTATTTATCTTTTTTCCTGTTGTAAAAAAAATATTTTGTTAGAAAATAACCATTTTCTCGTGTTTATTTTTGCGTTTAAAGTTTATATTGATCACTATGAAGCAAGCTAAGCTAAACTAGGTTCTAATAAGCTCCACAAATTATTGATATATAAAAAGTAATGAAATCATCAATATTTTACTGGAAAAAAGCGATCTCGAGCTTTATTTTTTTGTTATGTGTGGTTTGATTGTTTTTTCATTTGTTTTGATTTGTTTTTTTTTGTTTTGATTGTTTTGTTTTTTTTGTGTTTGATTGATAAAAAGTAACTTTAATACACCAGTAATGTTAAGGTAAATTAGCTGCTAGTGCGTAACATTATTGATTAAATCCAATCATTATTGTCTTGGCGTTTTCAACTTATGTCCGATTACTCAATACCGACGATATTTCACCCAAACAACCCATAAATTGCGTGCTTAACACGGACAATTGTTGCAAATCGTTCGTCGGAAGCAGACACGACAACCAGGTTCCGACTCACGTGATTCCAGTTGTGAAACTAACACAGTGGCGTTGCTCGGACCAGTGAACGTACCGCGTACCGTCTACCGTTGTCATTGTCATTGTACCTGTGACGCTTTTGTCTAGCTGGGCTAAGCTCGGTTAATTCCCCGGTCAGATTGGTATCTACCGTTAGTTGATTACCATCCCATCATTCGTCCACTGGTGACCTGCTTATTGTATTGCGCTTGCGTGCTGCGCGGTGGGCGTGGCTTGGCTGGGCGCACGAGCACTACGCATACAGAGCGTGCAAAAAGGTTGCGCATTCAAACATTTTTTTAAGTGAACGTTTTTACGAGAAATGTTTGAATTAGTGATGCAGTTGAGAAGTTTATGACAATAATGTACCTGTTAAAGAATAAATACTGTGACTTGCCTACAATTTGGAAAGAAGCCGATTCTATTACCGGATAGTAATTAAACAAATACCTAATCACAATAAACATATAGCGTATAAGTAACATTGAGTTCAAAAATCAATGGTATAAAATAAAAGTCGAGTTTTCGACCACTTGACAACCTCTAGTAGTACTAAATAAGTGATTGGTTTAAACGTTCATGTTTTTAAAGTATAAACTTAACGAAAATCACTAACACTAGGTGCATTAAAATCATTTGTATTCATATCTGTTTATCGTTAATTAACTAATTAAATGCTCAAAAACCGTCCTGATTTAACATTTCAATTAGCTACTTGCTGTCAATACAATGCTGCAATCATGAAAAATTTAAATGCATAGACGAATGAATTTGTTCGTTGCGTAAGCCCTGGTGAATGTATATACAAACAGTTTATGTCCCCTGTTCATTCAGAAGTTTAATTTTAATTTCAGTTGCAAACAACTGTTTAAATGACCTTTGTTATTATCATGCAACGTGTGCTATTAGTCAAAGGCTGTAATTTACGCTGAATTTATGCAGTAAAACGACAAACAGTACTTCCATCAGTTGTTTCAAGTGTAATTTCAATCACAAAGCTATTTACGGCGTTTCAGGGTGTTTGGCAATTGTTTGCTTGATTAAAGTTCGACCAAATTGTCGTCCAATTAAACTTTTGTATTTTTATAAATGTACCTTTTTAATGCAATCAAGCAGAGCATAATCAAAGGGTGTTTTACTTAATTAGATGTATTAATTCTATCTAACCTCAGACTTAAATATGTTTAAACATTCTCAAGAGAACATTTCTATTAGTTAATTCACCGACTGGAATTAACCTATATAGCAACTCATAATTAATTTATAAAATAACAATAAATAACCTTAAGTGTTCATTAGAAATTAATTTAAAACCCTAGGCTTTATTAAACAGGACTAAAACTTGTTTGAATATAGATTGCAAACATTGGTATAGTCATAGTATATAAGTAGGCCCTACTGTTTGAGTGTGAATAAATTACACATTTTTATAGGAGTTTGAATTTAATTAAATTTAATACTTGCCAAACAACACAATGGTTTGTGATGTGTGTGGCCTCAAATGTAATGCAGTTACAGATAACTTTACAACTGATGAATTATCTAATGGATTTTGCTACTTATATGATAGATCATTAAGTAAACCATCACTATTTTACTAAAAAACTTAAACACAATTATTCAATATACTCTCTTAAAGACTTATGCTAGTGATCCTAGGTGATTTTAGGGGCACTTTCCTGTCCGCATTTGGCATTGGTATATGTTGACTGCGAATTTAAGTTTATATATTTAATTTTACATGAGCAAGTTCAAATTCAATGCAAACTAAATTCAACGGACTTACTTCAAACAAAAAGTGCTTACAAACAAAAAGTAAAACCCTTCCTTTCAAACTCGGTAGGTGTTATGTAATATGTATGATAATTTGTACATAATAATCTGTACATCCAACCTTTTCGGACACGACCCTCGCATGAACGAAAGCTTCAGGATTTACTTACACGTATTCTTGATTGTCATAAATGATTGACTGAAATAGGTAACACATTTTACAGCCAATTTGACAATTTTGATCGTGTATGTTTTTAACATTTGTGAATGTGTTTCCCATAAATCTTCACATGATTGATTGATTTTTTTTTTTTAGAAGACGGAGGAGAGGTCTCTGCCTATCGCGGTGAGGATCCACAGAACTCTGGAGTTGGCGGATGACAAGTTCTACGTCATCACCTGCGGCAAAGCTGGCTTCAAGAACGCCAGGTAAGAATATATGGAAACGTTGAAAATACAGTAAATAGAATAGAGTTATGGTCACCTTAAGCAACGTCGAGTAAATAATTTTTCAACTCTATTTAAAGGCCTTTCAGTATGTTAAGAGTGGAGAAGAGAGTAAACAATGTTATGTGCATGAACGTAAACAAAAGGCATGACAAATAAATAATGTTTCTCAAATTTCATTACTTTATCCATGTTTTAAATCCTTGGTTAAATGGCTCGATTTTTTTCATGTGTGAAAACGGAAAGTACATTGACTGACGCCAACACTTTATTCCAAGAGTATAGAAATCTTCTTCGACAAATAATTCTTTGTGATGAACTATCTCAAATAAACCTTCAACCTTGTTATTACTGACTTTGAAGAAACATTACAACTTTTGATGTGCTTTGTCAAAGGTACTCGTTTTAGTTGTGAGTTCAAAGAACTGCGTCAATGATCCACTGTATTTTTTAACAATTCTAAATATAAATGGATCGGTTCACTACACCCATCTCCATTCATACTTGGCATAAAATACATACATTCGTATGGTAGCCATTTCAAAGTTAAGTAAAGTATTAAACATAGAAATAGCACACGTAAATTTACATGGTAATTAGTTAAATAATTTGTTGTTTAGTTCAAAAACTGGATTTAATTAAATATACTGATACTTTGAAAAAAAGTATCAATAAATCTTCTATATTTTAAAGATGTACCTACTACGTGGATAGGATGGTATTGGAAACAGATTGTTTGAAATAGAATGAGGAAATCGACCGAGATACAAAACAGATGTTTCATAGCAACATGATGGTAGTGTTTTGTAGCAACACTATCATAAAATTACGTAATACCCTCATATCGAAAACCTGCAGACTAGTGCAGAGAAACATGTTTCTAGGGAGTAAAAGATAGCGATAAAGAGACTTTCAATCAGAAAACTTCGTCGCTGAAATTTAGAGGGTTGTTTTTGTTCATTCGAGAGGGTGTTGACCATGATTTCTTTCTAGAAATGAATATAAAAGTTCAACAGTGTATAATTAGTAACAGTGTATTTAAAAATTAATTTTAATAGATGGATTTAATGGTTTGAGAATATTTGTTATGTATTGATACTTTCATGAATAAATTGAAATGCATAAACATTATAATTTATAAAAATATCTGACTATAGCAAAGATTGCTTATTAACTGTGTTAACAAATTAATACACGGCCAGGATAAGCATTTAATAAATGTAGGTTTATAGCTCGAATGATACAATAACGTTTTGTTTCGGTTGAATGTTAGAATCAATCAATGAATTGAAGAAATTACAAAAATGGTTGTAAACGTGTATAAAAATACATACTCCAACAGACAATCTACAGAAGCGTATGCAGAAAGATATTAATATTATTTACAGTGCTGGCCAAATTATTAGACTAATGCATTTTTTTCATGTTTTTTTATATTTTTCGTACATAAAAATTGCATAAAAAATTATTGTATTGCCTATTTAAGTATAAAATGTCTTTTGTATGTTACTTAAGTATAGTATAAGCTGAAAACTTCATTATTTAATTTTGCAGTTGGCACCCCTGCCTTTGGTGTAAAAACAGCAAAAATAAAGAAATAATTCAGGGCTACCACCTGTGAAAATAAAAAAACAGAATTTTTAGCTTATAATATTTAAAAATAACACACAAATAAGAATATGTACTTTAACCAGTAATAAAATAGTTTTTTGGCTGAAAAAAACCAAATAACTATAAAAATGAGTTTAGTCTAATAATTTGGCCAGCACATTTACTGATACAAAGGACTGAAATTAATGTCGGTTTTCTAACGTGCAGGTCATTACACTCTTTCGTAGTAGGCCTTAATGTTCTTGATCTTCTTGTATTCTAAGCTGGAGAAAAGCTTAGTTTTGACCCCAGACGTTTGCTTGCAGCCCACGTACAGCTTGTATTGAACTTAGAAATGCTAATCTTGTCACTTCTTGTCACTTTCGCAACCTTCAAAATTCAGAATGTCTCACCAAACCCTTCTATGCGACGAGTTCCTTGAACTCAAACGAATCTACAATATTAATATGTTTTATTTGTGTAGAATTGATTTTTCAATAAGTTAGGTTATTTTGGAATAGAAAAATGTCACATTTCTTTAGTAAATAAGAAAGAATCATGTTTCCATTCTAATCACTTAGACATAATATAGCTTAGAAAATACTAATGCACATCAAACTATGAGTACAGTACATAATGGGCATAGCACATGAACACTAAAAACATATCTAAGTGAATAACACAATTATAGAGAGATTAACTCAAACAACAAGTTAGCGATCTAAAATTTACCAGTTTTCTTGCACGACTACGTGATACAAAAATACTACAGTATCTGATTTCTTGAAAAAGTATGTAGTATTCAAATAATATTTGCAATAAAAAATTTAAACGTGTATTCAGTGTTTTGGAACTCAAAAAAATGCATGGGTTTGCAATGGAGTAAAAGTAAAATATGCATCACCCAAACAAAATACCATCAGTTTTCAATAAGTACAGTAAAAACATCAGCTGTTGTAGGTAAACAAACCACATGTAAACGCGCCCCCATGCTCGTACACCGAGCTGATGCAGGGGTGGTATCAAATATCAATATAACCTACCTGGCACCCTCACACGCCCCCGAGATATATCTTAAAAGCAAACCTCCTTAAACCACTTACTAGAATAGCGAGTTACCTCTTGTATGTGCTTAACATTTACCTTTGCGGCATAAATAGCTACTGTGATTATTACCAATTGTATGGAATTTATAAGTACCATAGAAATAATATTACTATACCATTGAATATATCATAGAAAGAATATTTTTGGATAGATCGTTGTATACAATGTCACCTCATCAGAAGTATCAGAGGCATCTGGATATAAATACTCGTCCAGACATAAACATAAAACTGTACTATTGATGATAATAAAAACCAAAAGTATTATATTGTCTGTGATAGTAACACAATAGTCTACACTGTATGCAGCCATTACAATGTTTGTACCCTCAAAGTTATTATATACATATTTAAACAAACAAACATTACATGATTTGGTTATTCGAGCATTGGATATCCTTACCTACTATTGTTTTATTTGAAAACATCAAATCATAACTGTACAATTGTATTGACAAAATATTGTATGGTTTGATAACTAATTATTAGTTATTACATGATTAGATTTATCAAACAGTACTTACTTGTATTGAACTTTGCATGCTTTGATTTGTTTTATTATCCTACTCCTGTATGTTTTACCAATTATGTTTTTACACATCATTCGGTTATTTAAAATCGCACTCATTTTTATTTACACATGCAATAAGGAATGCGTATTTGTATTAAATAACTTACATGTTTTCCAAAAATCATATTGATTTTATTTCAATAATGTAAAATAAGAATATAGCCTATATCGTCATAGCAAATTTAACATTAAATTTTAATAAATTTATCCTGATAGATAACATCATTAAGTCATACAAATAAAATATTTTTAATCACCGAAAACACTTTAAAAATCATCCTCGATAGCCGCATAATTTTAAATGGGAAATTTAGAGCCCCGTTGGTTGGCAACAATGACAATTCAATTCAATTCAATTCAAATTATCTTTATTCATAAAGTACATTAGAAATATATACATGAATAGTGTCACATTTCTTATAAGTTATAATAAAACATACATGCTTATAGTAAATGGGAAAAATTGTAAAAGAACATAAAACTAACAGTTAAAACATACTTTGATTAGTAGGGAAAGAAAAGTCAATTACAGTTCATCAAATGAATAAATAGCCCTGCTAATGAGAAATTTCTTAAGTTTATTTTTAAATTTTTTTATATTTACTTCTGCTTGTATGTCCTTTGGAAGTTTATTATAGAATTTTGTTCCGGCGTATTTGGGTTTTTTTTCGAAAAGGCGCAATTTATGAGGACTTAATGCTAACTTGCCTCGATTTCTTGTAAGATAATCATGTTTCCTTCCAACCAGCTCTATTTCATGAAATCTGTTTTTAACAGATACCACTGTTTCAAAAACATACATACCGAAAACTGTCATTATATTTTCTGTTTTAAACATTCTCTTAACAGAAGTTCTAGGTGGAAGGTTGTAAATTATTCTTATAGCTTTTTTTTGCATTCTTAATATAGATTTTAAGTTTCTCTTATTGGTTGAGCCATAAAGGGAAATCCCAAATGAAATCACTGAATGTATATATGAAAAGTAAACCAACTTCAAAGTTTCTATTTCGCAATAGTTTTTTAATCTAGTTAAGGCATATAATCCAGAAGAAACTTTTGAAAGTACTTTTTCAACATGACAGTTCCAATTGAGTCTTTTATCTATTACTAATCCTAAAAATTTAGTACTATCCTTAACTTCAATGGTTTTATTATTAAATTTAATAATCGGTCGACGTTGATTTCTGGTAGTTCGAGTTTGAAAATTTATGATACTTGTTTTATCCACATTGAGATTTAGATTTTGGGAGTTTAAAAAATCATTTAAAACGCATATGTCTGATTTTGCCTTGCTTTCTAATTCTTCATTTGTTGAGGCTATGATTTTCAAATTGGTATCATCAGCATACAAGCAGAGTTTACTTAAATTACTAAGTTGCGGAAAATCTCTTAAATAAATAATGAATAAAAGAGGCCCCAGAATGGATCCCTGTGGAACCCCATATTTTAAGTCAGTGGTATAAGATTGATATGGAATTTTATAGTTTTTACGGTTATGATAGATAATTTCAACAAACTGTTTTCTGTGAGAGAGATAAGATTTAAGCAAATTTAAAGCAGTCCCCTCTATACCCAAGGTACTAAGCCTTGAAATTAATAAATCATGGGATATTGAATCAAATGCTTTTTGCAGGTCCAAGAACAAACCCGCTACCTTAAATTTACCATCCAGACTATCAATGACCGATTCTATAAAATCAGTGGCAGCAGTTATA